GCACTGCATAGGGATGGTTTCTACTCATCCACTGAATGCAACAAATAGGAGCTTATGAGGCTGCTGGGGAGATGGGGAGCACTCCATCCTCTCCCAGCCTGCTCCCCCAGCCCAGCACTGATGTTTCCCAGGTGTTTCTGGCGTGCAGGACTTGAAACTGAGTCATCTTCGATTTTTCCTGATATTGCCCAGAATTTTTTTTTATGGCGGCACTACATTTACCGCAAATGTGGTTTTCTGAAAGAAACGTGATCTTCACCTAAAAGAAAAAAGAGAGAGATAAAAAGGGAAATAAAACGAATCTCCCACCCCTCAAAAAAAAAAAAAAAAAAAAAAAAAAAAAAAAAAAAAGCCTTTTGAAAATCATGGGAGCAGCAGGGCTGCAAGAATTCCTCGCCAAAAGACATTCAAAAAGCAGCTCTTTCACTTCTTCCTTTTAACCTGACCTTTTCATGCTAAAAACTTCAAGCCGCTCTAATCCCTGGCTCCTGCTTTCTATGCGCGGATGATGGCTGCTGTTAGAAGCGGGCGGAGGAGGAAGGAGCCACGCTGTGGCAGATGCTCCCTGCCTCGATGCTCCCTGCCTCGAGGTGCTGTCTGCAGGGATGCAGTGAGGATGTGCTGGCATGGCCCATGGCCTGGGATAGGCTCTCAGAGAAAGGCTTTGTGGCACGGCTACTAATCCAAGAGCCACAGCCTTTAGGACATCTTTGCTTTTTGCACGGCCATTAGGGAATTCGGGCTACGTGTAAAACATTGCTGGCTTGGGTGTTATCCCATTGCACAGCATCCTGCTGTGTCCTCTCCTGAAGATGAGCACCGTGTGCCTCATGGCAGCTACATCTCTATGGACACCTCTATCCACAGCAGGAGAACAGCATTCTGACTCACAATTCTATTCACAGGACAACCCCTGTGAATAGAGCTGAGATCCAAAAGAGGAGAAAAGAAAAAAAAAGCATCATGCAAATGTGCAGGATTGTGGTGCTGACTTCCAGTTCCAAGAACATTGCAACTCCTCACCTCGTGAGTCAGGATATTCATGAAATAGAGATGCCAAAAAAATGTTGGCTGTAAGGTCTCAGTTCTTGACTGAGATTACATGGGGTTGTACTTTTGGCATGCAGGAGAAAGGAGTGAAGGGGTGAGCCATTTCCAGACCCTTATCCTGTTCCCCGCTCAGAAAGACACATGTGAAAATGTATTTTAAATAAAAGACGCTGGGCCTCTTCTGAGTGAGGTGCTGGCAGCAGCGGGCCATGTGCTGAGGGTGTTGGGATGGATGTTATTAAAACAGGTGTCAGGACACACTTTGTCACTGAAATCGTACCCAGCAGCAGCAGTGAGGGATCTTGCTGTGAGCCAGTCACTGTTTTCCAGCAGTGGTCTGGTAATGTTTCTGAGTGTGGGTGCACCAAGGACAGCATTTTCCTCCCCTGCAAACCTTTGCGCCCCGACATGGCCGCGTCCCCACGGCTGCTCTTTACTGTGTGCACACACACAGATGCTCCCCTCCGCCATCCTTCCCAGGAACGTGCGTTGCAGCCGGGAAGCCGTCGCCGAGCTCTGAGTTTATTATCTCTGCCTTTGTCTTCCACACGCACCTCCCTCCGTCCCCTTCCATCTCCACAGGAAGAACTTTGGCAAATGTAATAAAGACAAGGTGAAGCTTTACATAAAATAATCTCTCCTGCCATGAGTCCTGAGGAATTTTAATCAGTCCAGGAGCACTGGCAGAATTCCTTTGCCTGCAATCTTTTCATGATCTGCTTTCCTCTCCTGCTCCTCGTGGGGAGCATTTGCTGGGAAGATGATTAAATTGGGCTGGTAAAGAGCTCGCAGGTTCTGCCGCTCTCGTATTTTCCTGCTTCTTTGCAAGATCATTTGTACTTTTTTATGACCTGCAACACGCCAGGTCAGCCGCTTTCTTTGCCTCCCCTGTAGGTTTCCTCACCATTGTTGTGGGGTTTTCCCCCTCTGGAGAATCTCTTTTGTACAAAGGCGAAAGACAAGGCTCCCAGCTCAGCCTGCTGTGTTGTTGTTCGCCTCGAGTCCAGCAGGAATTCAAGGAATGGTTCCCTACGTCTCCTATTCACCTTGCTCCTACCGATGGCGAAGATTTGATCAGAGTGGGGGGATGTTTTTGGGAAGTGGTGAACGAGGAGCCAACACGAACTCGGTAGAATGGGGATTTTGGAGCACAGTGCTTTGGCTGCCAGGAGTTCACTGTAGGAATCCGAGTATTTTCCTTTGAGCAAATGATTCACCAGCAATCACTCAATCAACTCTCTCAATGGTTGAATAATCTGAGAGTAATTTAGTCAGATGTTTGCTATAAATTACCAAATAAATGCTTGGAAAGATACCGGCCCAGAATTTCCCCTTACATGACCACGTGAATGCCATCCCTGAGGTGTCCAAGGGATCTGTGTTTACATCTGGCCAAAGAGTTCAGGCTCCAACCAAGATTCAGCTCCACCCTTCCTTTTCTATGAACTTTCCTGCTCCGGATACCCTGCTGCTGGAGGCAGATGGACGCCTGCAGTGGGGCAGAGCAACAGTTTTGGTCATGGTCCCCTGGTCAGACATCAGCACATGGGCTTGCAATGAGTCCCTACTGCCTGCAAGCAGCACCCACCTGGAGATGGATGGGAGACACAGCGCATGGCAGTGACCTGGTGCTGTTTGTATGCTAAGGGAGAACCATTTCCCCAGGTCCAGCTCTGGCCCTGTTGGTGCTGCAGTTTTCCATCCCTTTTCCCCACAGATTTCCCATTGGTTTCTGAGGGATGATGCTGCCCTCACAGCTTTCCCTCCTTTGTTTGTTTTTTTTTTTTCCTTTTTTTAAACCTCAAGCTTGACTGAGAGTGGGGCTGGAGGGATGAATAAGAAAGGGGAAAGGATTGGAATTTTCTTTTCCTTTCTTACATTCTGTGGCTATTTCACTTTGTCCAGAGCATCTGGGCATGAGGTTCTTACTTCAGTATTGCTGTTGAATAGCCCTGGGCTCAACCTCTTTCCTCTCAGCTTCCCCTTCTGTGTTGTGCACTCAGGACTTGTTATTATCCATCACAAACTCCCCCAGAGTTCCTACCTGCTGGTTATTCTTCAAGAGGAAAAACAGTAAAAATAAACAGATGATTTATTATGGGGGAAAAAAAAAAGCCTCCACTATTTCTATCCAATTAATAGTGGCTTTTGTGAAAAACTGTATTCAAACTGGCTCCCACTCAGACTGTCACAGTGTCAGTGTGAGGCCAGGACTGAGGGGAGAGGAGGCATCTTTCACTCCATCAGCTTGTATCTCTTTGGGATAAAACAGAGTGGCTTTTGTAGGCTTGTTTTCCTTTTTCCCTTTGCTTTAGCAGGAAGAGCAGAAAGTTTTGTTGTTGTCAGTCCTGTTGTTTTGTGCAGTCCTGGCATGTCAGGGAGGGTGAGAGCGCACCAAGGGGAGTATCTCTCCCAAACCCTCTGCAGTTTTGTTGCATGCTCTGCTTCTCAAGTCACAGTGATTTGTCCAGCAGTACTTGGGTGTCTGGAAGCTGGAGCAGACCTCGCTGCTGACTGCGGGGTTGCTGCTGACTGCGGGGGTGCTGCTGACTGATGTTTCCCAGCCTGCAGCACCCAGCCCTGCTGCAGCTCCCATTAGGGCTCTCCAAATAACAGTACTCTGTCCCTGGAAATCCCTTGCAGTCAGCAGGCTGTGTCTGCATGGGCATTTGTCTCACTCACAAGTGGGGAAACTGAGGCATGTATCCACACAGCTGCCACCAAGTGGGGGTGTGGCAGGAAAGGACAGCCCAGCTGCTGCCACCATAGTGCCAATTCCCCTTTCCCCAAATACTACCAGGCACTGGCAGTGCCCATGGAGGTGGCAGCCCACTCCTCACCTCCTGCCCATGCTGCCCTTCCTCGCCTCAGGGCTGTCCTTGTTCACCCTCTCCTTTGGCTCTTTCTCCCTTGGCCTCACAGCCACTTTAATTTTAGCAATTCCTTGGAAAGAGTCCTTTTCCATAACTCAGCTCACAGCGAAGCTCTCTGCCTGCCAGCTCTGCCTTCTCCCACGTGTTGCTGGCGTGCCCCAGCAGCACACGCCTGCACCTGCCCAGCCAGGCCTGTCCCAGCCTCCTGCACACCCAAACCTCATGCTCGGCTCCCGTCCCCTCCTGGCACATTTAATCCTGGCACTCCCGAATTGCACTGCAGGAGCAGCCTCTGCCTTGTCTGGAGGCATTGTGCATGGCACGTCTGTCCTCCTTGTCCTGCAGAACCCCCACCTGCGTGACAGCTCTGGTGCAATGGGAAGTGGGGTTAAGTGGGGTTACCCTACAACCAGGGGGTGCAGAGGATGGGCAAGTGTGGGTGTGCAACGTGCACCAGTAGGTTGCATGGGAGTGGGAAAAGTGGGTGCATATAGGATGCTCTGCTTGTGCACTGGTCGTGTGAGACCAGAGTGAGCACAGAGCTGTGTGCACTGGTTGTGCAAGGGTGAGCAAAGACCTGTGCATTGAGTTGTGCACTACGTGCATGTGCTTTTATTTTGGTCTGGAGCTGTGTGGCACTTCGGTTGGAGGAGTACTTGGAGTGAGTCATCGTGCAATGGGATGTGCACGGCCATGCGTGTGCCAGACACTCACAAGTGCGATGCGTGCATGTTCACAGGATGCATATAAGCATGGTGCCTTCTTTTGGATCTGCTCCTCTTGGGGTGCTGTGTGCCCGCAGGGCTGTGCAGGGTGCGTTGTACACGGCTGCATGTGCAAAACGGGGCACGCGTGAGTGTGATGTGCACGTGCAAGTGTGTCGAGTGGGCTGCGTGTCCCCGCACGGGCGTGCGTGCAAAGGTGCGCGTGCAAGGGCAAGCGCGTGGGTACGTGCGCGTGTTTGCACGTGAGTGCACGCCCGTGTGTATGTGCGTGTGCGCGTGTGTGTGCGCGCGTGTGTGTGTGTGTGTGTGCGGGCGAGAGGCGGGAGCGCGCGGCGGGGCCGGGAGCGCGGCCGCGGCGCTGTGCCGGGGGGTGCGGGCTGAGCTCATCGCTGGCTCCCCGGCGCTTCTTACCAGTGGCTTCTGCGGTCACATGGGTTATGTGCTGGAGTTTAAAAGAGCTTATAGCCCCCGAGCCGGTGCAGAAGCAGCCGGTGGTTGCATGGGGTAGAGCAGGGAGCGGCGGCGAGCAGGGCACCGTGAGTACGGGGGCGGCCGGGGCCGGGGGGGCGGTGCAGGGTGGCCCCCAGCCGCGAGGGTAGAGCCCCTGTGCCAGCCGCCCTGCGCGGAACCAACGCCGCCTTTCTGGTGGGCGAGGGAGGGGGGGGGGGAGACACCCGGATCGCCGCCACCCTCCTACGCCCCGCTATTTCCCCCGCTCGCACCTTCCCGCGCGTGTCCGTGCCCCGCCGCGGGCCGCGCCGCCGCCGCCCCGAAACCCACGAGGAATCCATTCGGGCAAGTTAGTTTCCTGCTCCGTGCGTCCGCGCGTCCGTCCGTCCGCGCGTCCGCCCCGCCACCGCGCGTCCCCCCCGTCCCTCCCCCGGCGGCACCGCGGGACCTCCGTCCCCGTCCCCGCGCCGGGAGGGCATCGCGGCCGCACCGCCGCGTCAGGTTGAGGGCTGCGCCGAGCCCGCTGCCTGCTGCATCGCATTAGGCGTGCTGGAGCCGAGCTCGCGGGGGGGCTCTTTGTCAGCTGCAGCCTGTGATTTCCCGGGCAGGAGAACGGAGTTTTTCCTCCTTGCCCCAAAGGCGCAACCTGCCCTTCCGCTGTGGCAGCGCTGACTTTCATCCTTTTTTTCTTTTTTTTCTTTTTTTCTTTTTTTTTTCGTGAGGAGAGCTGATTTTATAAAAATATCATCTGCTTGGCGCGCTGTGGATCTGCTGTCCCGGGCTCGGCAGCTCACCCCTAGCACGATGAGGGCTGCTTTCCGGAATTGCATAACACACACCGTTCCCTGTGTGCACAAACTCCTTGACATCCCCTGATCCCGGTGATTTCCCTTCTAAATCCAGACCGGGGCTCCAAGCGCCGCATGAGCGACGCTGTGCTGCCTTCGCAGGGGATAGGACCTGGTCTGCACATTTCGGCTCTCCCAGGCTCCCCCAGCCGTTGTTTTTTAAGGCATTAAACTTTTTGGTATAAAGACTGGCACTTCTCCCTCTCCCTCTGATAAATAGTTTTCCCCTTTCTTCCCCACCCTGTGCTCATAGACACGTGTCTGTAGCACAGGTTGCAGAGTGGGGATTGCCTGCCGAGCTGTTTGTTTCGTTTCTCAGTTCTCTCTGTGTGTTTATTTGTCAGTTAACCCAGGAGGTCCTTTCCTCAGGTTGCGTTTTGCTCCGGACCTTTCTGACTCCTGCTTGGATCTTCCAAATTTTGCTCTGGTGGCCGTTCTCTCTCCTTACTCCCTCCCTGTTGTGAGCAGCCAAGCTCTGCTCTGATGGCTCTGGGCATGTGCAAGAGATGCTCATGGCCGTGCATCTCACGGGGACCAGGTGCTGGGATGGGGGTCGCTGGGGAAGGCAGGCACGGGTTGTGCTTCGGCAGTGAGAGCCCCATGCCTGCCAGACTTGTTTGCAGCAACCCTTTTGGATAACTTCATCTAAGCCCACTGTCAGAGCAGGCCAAGCCGTGAGCCGTGTGCTGTCTTTGGTCTGATACACTCTGTGTGGAGCAGCTCCAGCTGAGCCACGGAGCCCCCCGTGCAGAATGTGCCCCCGCCTGCTGTGCTGGGGAGGAAGGAGGCACGGTCCGTGGAGGTGCAGAGTTCATGGTGCGTGTATGGGTACAGATAACTGTGGTGGGGCTCAGCTTTTAGAAATGGTTCAGCAAAACGGGGAGCTCTAAGGGTGCAACCATCCTTTTCCCTCTGCCAACCCCACGTGGAGCCGGAGGAACGCATCCTGCTTCTGCCAGGGAGTTTGGCTCTGTCGTTTATTATTGCAGCCGCTGCCATTACGCTTGACAGACGGGAGTTGCTGAGTAATGTGCTGTTTGTGTGTAAATATCTGAGCGCTCACCATCGCGCTCTCTGCCGTGGCTCTGCAGCGATCTGCCTCAGCACCTCTCCCTGTGCAGACCCCAGTGAGCATCCTCTGTTCCTTCTGCTCCCCTTGCCCTGTGCAGGGCTTCCAAAGTGCCAGTCTGCTGCCAGTGGTCAGGAGAGGCCATGCTGCTACCTGGGTGCGAATTGGGGCAGGAGAGGGCCCTCTGTATGAATGCGTGTGTGTGTGTCTGTGTGCACCTTGGGCGTAGGGATGCTGTCCTGGACTTTGCAGACATGTATTTTGCTATAAACTAAGTCATGGACAAGTAGGAAAGCAGCACTGTTTCGCTTTTCTGGTTTGTTCCCTTTTTTTTCTCCACCTAGCTACTGAGTCCCAAGTTCCCCTCAATTTCATCCCATTACTACTGAAGATGCTGAATTATTCCTTCCTGTATCATTTTCATCCCATTTGCAGATTAGCATCCGACTCCCCCTGTCAGTGTTTGCTCAGCCCAGCTAGACTGATCACAGCCCCTTTAATCTCCTTTTGTAAATCAATCCCTTCTGCTTCTCCATCATTTTTGTCGCTCGTTTTTCTGAAATCCTTCCAATTTGTCCATTTTGTGCTGGTGACGTATGCCTGGCCCTAAACATGATGTATACCAGGCATGGCAGCGTGAGGGAAGGACACCTCCTCCCCTCCCACCCGCTGGGGCTTGTGATGCTTTGTCAGCGCTGAACTGAGTTACTTCCCCATTATTCTAAGCTATAGTCCCTGCTCGGTGTTGCAGAAGGAAGCAGCATACCCAGGTCAGTGCCCTGGGGAGAATTCCTCCAAATTTTGGTGGTGGGTTGGCAAGCTCGGTTTGTGTGCTGCTGTTGCGTGCTGGTGCACCAGGTGCTGCGTTGGGGTTGTCAGGAGACCCTCTGCCTCTTTCTGAAAAAACTGAGGGTTGAACCAAGGTAAGGTGAGCAAAATGAGTGAAGACAAACTGTACGGGGAAGGAAGATGGATGGGGAAACTGAGGTCGTACACAGGCTCAATGCACATTCCCTCCAATACACAAGGACTTCAAGTAGAGGCAGCACTTTGTACAGTGGTGCACTTTGAAGTTTCCTTATCCCAAACCTGGAACTACCAGCGCTGTGCATTCCCATTCGCAGGGAGGGCCGTGCCCTTCCAGGGACCATCTATTTTTAGGAGGAGCCATGCTCTGGACATTGGCCACTGCAGATGCTCTCTGCCTCCTCCTCTTGGCCCCTCTCCAGGAGATCTGCTGGTGGGGAGCATTTTGCTGAGACTCTACAGGAGCACAACGGAGGTGGCACCACGCAGGGCACAGGAACACCTGAGGGGATGTCACTGCCCAGGGGTAACAGTGGGGCTGCACTGCCCTTCACCTGTGTAAGGAAATGGCATTGGCTGAGGTCTGGGGACCAGCAGGATATGGCACATTTGGCTGTCTCTGCCTGCAATGCAGGGTACATCCCTGAAGTAGGAAGGCAGTCTAGGTGGGTGCACAAGAGGGGTGACCGTGGTGGTCCTGGTCCTGTTTGGGTGCCAGTCCCTTCACCAGGATGACACTAGGGGGCACGAGATGTGCTGGAATCCCCTTTGTTGGGAATGAGAAGGAAGAATACAATGCAAAAGCCACTCTTGACCATTTCACCCCCTGCATGCTCCCTTTGCACATTTTGCAGGAACCTGAGCATGAAACCCCTACAGAGGCCACAGGCTGATGCTGGTGGCATGTCCTCGGTCCTTAGTCTCTGTCCTTGGTCCCTTGTCCTGCTGAGGTGAGGATGCATCTGTCCGGCTGCACACACCATGCTGCTCCTGGCCATGGGAGCAGGGGGAGCGGGGATGGGAGCGCTGAGCAGGAAGCATCTTGGAAGTAAGAAAGAGGTGGACTCACACAGAGGGTCTCTGGGGAATTAGGGAAATCCAGGAAACACCTAGCGTGGTTTTAGTTCCTCCCCAGAGGCTTTGTCCAGACAGGAGCAGGTTAATCTGGGAAGATGGACCGTGCTTTGGTTTCATTTTCTGCTGGATGTTAAGTCCACGTGAGATAACTCTTCGGGGTCATGTTTTCCCAAAGCAGTAGAAACTTTAGAGAGTCAGATGTGATGAGCCATCCTGATCGATCTGGAACACGTGTATATTTATGTATTAGATATGTGTCCATTTATATGTCTGGGTAGGGTTTCAAAGAATGTGTTTTTTAAGATGTGTTTATGCATTTCAGCATAAATTCAACTGTCATTTTGCCTTTCGTCCTTAAAGTCTATTATTCCAGCTGTGAATGCGTGTATGTGTACTAAAGCACCGTATACTGCAGTCTTTCTCTTGCTATAACAAACCTTGTGAAAAAGCAAATAAAGAGACATTGTTCTCATTGTGGGCTTGGAAGGGTTCAATATTTATCTTCTATGAATTTTGATAGTTTTTGTTCAGTGTGTTTGCAGTTGTGGGTTTTTCTTCCTTTTTTTTTTTTTTTTTTTTTTTTTTTTTTAGCTTATCTGCTACAAAAAAATTGCACAAGTGGAAAACTGAAAACATCCTGACACGTTGAGTTTATTCGTTACTTAATGAGCACGGAAGTCAAGCTTCTGGTTTAAAAAGATGCTTGATAACAGCCTGGCACATCTCTTTCTCCCTGGTCAGTTCTTAATGCTTTCTGGCTGCCAGACACCAGGAATTGGAGCTCTGCTTCTCTCCCAAACCCCCAGGCAACAATTTTAGGACGCCAGAGCAATGCAAACACACCCGTCCTCCTGAAGCAGCACTGGTAGAGTGGGATGGGAGCACGAAGGAGATGCTGTGCTGCTTTTTGCTCTCTGTGCTCAGCCTTCCACAGCCCAACACGGGGTTCTGTGGATTTTAGGCTGTGCTGGATCTGCTTTTAAGTGCCGAGTCTGCTTTTAAGTCAATTAGGGATGGTGTTTGAAGGCAGTGTTGTGGTTTGAGGAGGAGAGGGTGATTTGTCTGAAGATGTTACCTAATTAGAGGGTATAATCAGGGTTCTAATTAGCCGTGACACCCTAAAGATGTCATCGATGCCCCCTGTCCCATCAGCCTTGTGTTTCCCTTTGGGGCTGCTGCTGTTTTCCAGTGATGCCTGTACAGTTGCAGAGCAAAAGGAAGGTGCAGCAAATGGAAGAATTAATACGAGCACTCAGTGGGGGAAATCTCCCCTCCCTTTCCCCCG